CCCCCCCCAAGCCCTTGCTCACCCTTGCCGCCCCCTTCTTCTTGCTTTGCGAACTGGCTTTTGCAGTTGTCAAATTGATCTCTGCGGTAAGCAAGGGCGCTACGGAGGATACTTATAGGCGCAAGCCAAGGGTGCACTAGAGATTCGGGACGATGGCAGCAATCGTCGATGCCGTGATCCTGTTGGAGATGCCATGCGCCATACACATCAGCGGCCCACTTGGCAAAGTGAATGCGATCGCTAGCGCACACACAATCTACGCCCCTTAGCAAAAGTTTCCGCTACTTTTTCTTTTCTGAAGAATCGCCTCCATCCTCCGGCTTGTCGTTCCCCACCCCTTTTTTCAAATCGAATCATTCTCCTTTCTCCTGTCCCTTGGAACGCTGCACTTCGCCCCTCTTTCTCTTCTTGTTTTTGTTTGGGAGACAATTTCGATGGCATATTTCAAAGTTTGACTATTTGGCCGGATGAGATTTTTCTCTCAAGCAAGAGCGGGGCATTCGCGCGTCGAGGCTCCTCTGGCCATCAAGCGCCACAAGAACGTCTTTTGACTGTTACAGCCACAGTGCTTGTCAAACAAGACAGAATCAAAGGCGAAGTGGCTGTGAGTGTAAATGTACATACATGGTCACAGAGCTTCAATCCACCGAGACAATTCCAACGTCCCATCAAACTCTGCTGAGCTGTTCAACACCCCTCCCTTCTCCTCCTCCTCCTCCTCGTACTTTTCCCTTTCCAAAACCACTCCCTCGTCATCCACTTTCCAAGCTTGATCAGTCTGCTGAGCAATGTCGACGCTAGCCAAGCAAAAATGAGCTCGGCCAGCCTGAAGGATCTGCTCGTCCATCTTTTCAAACGAGAAATCAGCCATCCTGTCTTGCCAAGCCACATAATCCCGTTCCTCTTCCTCCTCCTCCCTCCTCTCATCCACATGCTTGCTTGGCGTCGCTTGCGAAGCACCGCTACTATCGCGCATACCCAATGCTCGACGAAGCCGTGCAAAGATACCAGCAGATGAATAAGAGGAATCCGAATGGATCACTCCCATATCTTCCACTCTGCTCTCCCGATTGCCCAGACCCAACGCAGCCCGACGTCGATTGAGCTCCACTTCGAGGGAGTTTTTGAGACGCAGTAAAGCCGCTGTGCGTCGTTTGGGGTCGACGATGGTGCTGCGCGTCGAGAGCAGTGGGGAGAGATCGGAACGCGTAAAGAGGATCAGAAGAGGAACGGGTTGCGATTTGCGTGAGGAGGTGGATTGACGAGCCAAGATGCTTAGGAGGGTGTGCAGTTGACTTGGGAAGTAGGGAGAAGGGAGAGGAAATGTGTCAGCGAGGTTTGACGAATTTGGCTATGAGCTCGTGGTCGGCGCTGCAAGGAGAAGGCAGGCATTCTCCCCCCTCTTTTCCCCACGCCGTACGTTTCCCTGCGGCGGAAGATGTAGGACGACTACGTGCAATCTGTGCGCAACGATGCGCAAAGATGATGCGCAAGAAATCGCCCAATACGCTCCCATAAGGTCCCGCCGAGGAGAGAAACCCTGGCCTTTTTGACGGGCGAGGGTGAGCCATGGAGCAAGAGGACGCGCGAGACGCGTACTCTTGCTCGGGATTTGATGTGCGCAACATCTACGGCACACCTCGTGCACTGCATCGCTACGAGAGCGAA